AGACTCTTCAGTGTGGAGACTGGTGTCAGAATACATAACCAGTCACTCTCATCTGGAGCACCGACAGACCCCAGAGTAGGGCGGTTAAGTCTTAGCCCACTGAGCTCTCGAGGCAAAGCTGGATTTGCTTCTCACTGGTTTCTTTCTTTCATTCATTTTAAATTTTTTAAGTTTTTTTTTTTTTTTTTTTCTTTTTAGACACGGCTTCTCTGTGTAACAGCCTTGGCTGTCCTGGAAGTTGCTTTGTAGACCGGGCTGGCCTTGAACTCACAGAGACATGCCTGCCTCTGCCTACCAACTATGGGAATCAAAGGTGTGCACCACCACTACCCTGTTTCTGACCCTTATCTTACATCCAAAGATGCCTTTTCTTTCCCCTAAGTCTACTTATATTAGGAATTATTCAAATATAAGAAAGCTTAGTTTTGCATTGTTTGTTTAAAGAACATTTATTAATTCAGCACAGTGGCTAGCAGGCTCTCCAAATGGTTTTCCTTTTCCACCCTTCCTCATTTCTGGGTCCACTGGACAGAATATAACTAGGTAAAAATTTGGAATGCTGTGTATCTATAGTCAGCATTCCAAAGCAGCAAGTGTAACAAACCTGCTGAGTGAAAAGATTATGTGTTTGCTGATGAATAGGTAGTATGACTTGAGTCCTCCATTGTGCACTATCAGAAATTATGGGGCCTTTTGTTAATTTTTAGAAAACTATGTTTTTCATTCTTTGATAGTATCAAAAGGCTTTCCCTCTTTGTTTTCTTCTGAACACTTTTTTTTTTCTTGCACACATGGGTTGGAATATTTTTACCATCAATATTTATCTCCAACTCTACAATTGTTGATGGTGAAACCAAGATTCCCTAAATATTAGTTTGTTTTACAGGAAACATTGCTGAGGTGACTGCTTGATTAAGTCCCAGAGGGAAAGAGGGGAGATGGAACAGTCTCTTCCCCCAAACTAGGAGCTGAGTACACATACTTGACACAGTGTCACTTTTTTCCTTCTGCCAACAACTTCCATGTCCATTTCCAAGGCAAGTCAATCCCTCTTAATTGTAAGCAGCTGATCAATATTCTCAACACTGTCTCCTTGGAGAACATCCATGTGCCTCTCAGTTGCTTGCAGGAGCATGCCTTGGTCCATCTCTCTGTCCCGTGTTTAAACATAGACCAGGCCAGAAGCAGTGGTGGGCTGGTGAGGCTCATCCTCCACTGCAGTTCAAGTCTGAAATATTATACCTTGCTTACACTCAAAATATCTGTATGATTGTCTTCTGATGCGTTCCCTCGGTAAACAATAAATTTTTCGTCTTTAAAGAAAACTAATTGCTGGTGGTAAGAGAAACCACTTCTTGAATATGCTTACACAGGGGGGAAAAAACTCTCCATATTTAGTGAGTTAAAACAAGTGTTTATTTTTCTAGGTTTTGAAATAAGCAAACGGAAACACCCAAATGTGTATTTCAAACTTGTATTTTTTCAGGCCAAAACATTTTCCTTGAGAAGTACTCAGGTACGGTGAAGAGATGGGAGAAACTGGTGTCTGCCCAAGCCTGGGGCATGACACAGAGAAGTAGGTAGAGGGCTTAGGGACCAGAGGGAAAGCTGGTAATGATTAGGTAAATAATGATTTTTAGGAACTGGGAATGGCTGGCAGAGAACTTAAACAGAACCCCCTTTTCTCCTGTATATTTTCAAAATACCCTGACTGTAGTGTGAAAAGACTTTTCGACCTACAGTCTTTTGAAAGTGTGAAAGGAGCTGAACTAGATGACGGCAAAGACAGAGGAAACAGGATAAAATTTAGAAGCTGATCAGTGGTAAAATGGGAAAAGAAACACGGTAATGGGCTGAGAAAGGGGAGGAAGAGACGGTGGTTGGTTCCCACTCTCTGACTTGAGCAGTACCCGGCAGAGACGCTATTAACTGAGGTGGTAAATGATGGAGAGAGAGTACTTTGAAGGACGGGCTGAACGAGGATTCAATTAGGGTCATGGTACACCTGATGCCTGCAAAATCTCAAAAGAATACTGTCTTCAATGTTTTGCAAAACGAGTCTGGACAAGAATTCAAGGCTGAGTTAGGACTGTGGGAGTCATTGGCACATGGATGCTATCTGAAGTCATGGAGACAACGTCACAAAGGGCTGAGACTAGACAGAAGGAGAAAACTGAGGTCGGGATTAGCTCTGAGATATGCCTGGCAATCGAGAGATCTGACAGAGCATATGTAACTGACAGTGAACCCGAGCAGGCAACAGTTAGTGTCCAAGAAAAAAAAAAAAAACAGTCAGATTTTATGATCCCAGACCACATATCCTTGGCAAGCAGCTGTCAGCCACAGGGCTGCTTGGCTCAAAACAAGCCATTTTTAATGGTGAAAAATAAACCCACTGAATGCGAGAGTCTTTCTAGTGGAGAGGGAGAAAAGTGCACTGAGTTGGTCTAAAGAGCAAGATGAAGGTGTCATGTGGAAATTCTGGGAAGAAGGGAAAAGCCTCAGAGATCAGCTTCCATGTCTGGGTTATGACGAGGTCACGGTCAGGGAGGGAAGATCTTGCTTAGTCTGCAGTAGATTGGCTTTTCCTGCCTGGCTTGCAGGAAGCTAAAGTGCTGTGCGGTAGAGCCCTCGCTCCTCTTTTATGTTTGAAATGAGATGGAGTGCTGGGATTTAATGAGGAAAGTAGCTTCATGAGCTACAGAGCTGCAAGTTCAGCCTTGAGAAAACATCTCTCTGTCTTTCTCTCTGCCTCTCTCTCATTTCAGTATTTCCCGATAGAAAGTGTGTCTGTCTGGGAAACATGGCTGTGGACTCTAGATGGGATGTTTGGAGGCTGTGTCAAATCTCTAAAAGATTAAAGCCCAAAAGCCTTTATATAAAATAAGTTGCTGAAAGCTAAATTATTTGTTTGGTATCTGAGAATGATTGTGTATTCCTTCCTGTAGAAACTGGATTTATTGGTTAAGCTCTGTATCTGGAGTTATAGAAGAGAGTCCTTGGCCATTAATGTGGCAATATTAACTGCTGTGGTACCATTTTCTTGGGTAAGGTTTTTATTAGTGTGAATTAACACTCTTTTGCAAATCATTGAAGAGATGAGACTAAGAAAAGATTAATTAAACCACAAATGCTTTGAAATTTGGAAACCTTCCTGAAGTTGGTCTTTTCTTATAGCTTTTCACTTTCCTTTTCTCTCTCACGATGTATTTCAGTTCTTCTTTTGCAGTCTCACTTCGTGTTTCTGTAACTTAATATCAACAGTGGGGAGGATGCCATTTCTGGCTCCATCAGTACAGCCTTTCAGTAGCTGTGTGTGTTCCTGGGTGAGCTCTACTCACTAGGTCTATGATAACCTGCACGAGACTGTATACCTGCCACAGATACAGATTTTAAGTATAATGTGGATTCTCTTTGTCCCCACATTACAGATAGCATGAAACTTGCACACGGAGGCAGTCACTGCTCATATATGTCCTCCCAGCCTGGGTTTGGTAGTTCTGCTATATTGCTTCCTAATGATGCTAGCTTTTATCCAAACTAGACATCATCTTATATCATCAGTGCCTTAACTTGTTCATCTTCATTACTAAACGGTTACATTCTAACTGCTCTAAGTGCATTTCCTGGCATGTACAGAGAGAACAGAAATTTCTGGATCCCAAAGTAGAGTGGATATCCAGAGAACTACAGCCCTGAGGCCCTCAGCCAGGGAAAGGAGAAAAAGCAGAGTCGTAGACAAGCTTTCAAATTGCAAGCAGCACATAGAAGGGATTAATCATGGGAGAGTAAAACTAATGTAGGTTTGTTGAGCATTTTCACTGCTGCTAAGGTGCCTCTAAGCTAGAGGCATTCCATGTTGTCTGCCATTAATCTGTAATCCATGCAACTCTTCTTCTGTGTACATTAAACATCAGCCAAATTAAGTTACGAGCATTCCAAAAGTCAACTCTGGGGATCAGCTTTTCCAAAGTATGTTTTTCATGTAGCATGTTTTGTTGGCTCATGCAATAAGCTTTTCTTCTCAGAACTTCAAAGAAACAGTGGACTGGGAGCAGCAGCTGACAGTGAGCTCCTTCTGGAGTGTAACCTTCCAAAAGCTGACATCTGGAGTGAAATTCAAAGTGGGTGGGATGGCTGGGAGAGCGATGACCAATATCTTAGGCACTTAGGCTTTCTGTAACTGGTTTATAAAAGAGAATTTTCCTTTGCGTTTGTGTGAGTAAATATACCATCTTACTTATTATCATGGCCATGTTATTTATCCTGCTTTCATTCAAATGATTTTCTTTAATCAAATGAGTTTCCTTAAGTTGCCTAGGTTTGCAGGTGCCTAGTGGATAGGTATAGAGTTGACTTATAAAATTCTTTAATACATTTTTTTTATAATTAAGCTAGATAAAAAGGCAGGTTTACCGTATCATAAGACATGATATTTAATTTTAGATTTATTTTTATTTATATCGCTGTGTGCACATTTATGTGAATACATAAATGTATTCACACATGTGAATACATGTGTGCAGGTGCCCAGAAGATGACGGATCCCGGGAGAGCTGGAGTTACAGGCAGTGTGAGCCTCCCAACATAGGTGCTAGGTTCTGAATACATGTCCTCCGCAGCCCTTAACCACTGAACCATCTCTCCAGCACCCAAAACATAATACTTCTAAATCAAAAGTTATTTTCAAGGAAGTTATTAACTTTAACTGCTAAAGAAATCACTCATTACATAGTAGAAGGTATAAGGGATTTTAATTACACATCAACCCATTAATTCCACAAATGAGAACCTAATGCCTGGAAATTCATAAAACATTGATTCTATTTTTTTTTTTTTCTGAATGGAGACTTATATCAGTAAATGGGAGAGAAAGTGTAAATAATGAAGGACTGAGAGGAAGTACGCCCTAAAACTTGGAGGTTTGTTTTGTTTTGTTTTGCTTGCTATTAACTGATCTTTTGTTCTTTCTCCCCCTCCTTTTTTGTTTTATTATATAGTGGCCACAGATGTCTTTAATTCCAAAAACCTGGCCGTTCAGGCACAAAAGAAGATCCTGGGTAAAATGGTATCCAAATCCATCGCCACCACCCTGATTGATGACACCAGCAGTGAGGTGCTGGATGAGCTCTACAGGGTGACCAAGGAGTACACCCAGAACAAGAAGGAGGCGGAGAGGGTCATCAAGAACCTCATCAAGACAGTCATCAAGCTGGCCGTCCTCCACAGGAACAATCAGTTCAATCAAGATGAGCTGGCGTTGATGGAGAAGTTCAAGAAGAAGGTTCACCAGCTTGCCATGACGGTCGTCAGCTTCCACCAAGTGGAATACACCTTCGACCGCAACGTGCTGTCCAGGCTTCTGAATGAGTGCCGAGAGCTGCTGCACGACATCATTCAGCGCCACCTCACCGCCAAGTCTCATGGACGGGTTAATAATGTCTTTGATCATTTTTCAGATTGTGATTTTTTGGCTGCCCTGTATAATCCCTTTGGAAAATTTAAACCTCACTTACAGAAACTTTGCGACGGCATCAACAAAATGTTGGATGAAGAGAACATATGAGCTCGTGACATGAGATTCTGACCAGCAGCGATGTATGAGAAGATGGAGCATTGCTGACTCATGAAGGGAGGATGGAGAATCATTTGAAGATCACATATCTTTCAGAAAGCCTTGGCCCCATACAACCAATTGTTGTACATTAATGGTAATACTTTTATGTGGATTTGTCTATTTGGGGAAAAAAAAAAAGCATATTGCCAAAAATTCTGGCTGAAAATGCCTTAATGAATGGCAGGATGTGGGAAAAATAGACAGTTGATAATTCAAATGTAGAGTGACATAAAGACAGATTAGCATGGCTCCAATCTCCAGGACTTTTTTGTGTTCTAGGGGAATTATGTTGGTGGCACATTGGATATTTGTATTATATATAAAGTTGTGTATCTTCATTCACTTTTATTCTTTACTATGTCCGTGTATCTCTTTTAAAATGCCAGAAACCTCCCTTTGCTGTCATTGATCCTTTTGAAACAAGTTTTGCTTCCCAGTCTACTTTTGATTCTTTGTTATAGATTGTCATTGACCTTCAGGAATTAAGTCTGAAGCAGTCGGGTTGAATGCTCAGGAAAGCAGAAAACTGCATATCTGAAATCATGACTGTGGAAATAAACAGACATCATGAGTAATGTCCATTGTAGGAGTGTGCTTTCAAAACTGAGTTCTACTTCTTAGAACCATTGGTGATACTTAGAGTCTCAAAACTGTAGTGGCACGTTATTGCCTTGAAATACTTGCTTAGGGCCTAACTTTGATGTCATCCCGAACATGTGCTGACAAAAGTCTCCAGTATTAACATCCATTTCACATGTAGGAGAAAAAAAAATTCTAGATTGGCTTTGATATTGAGACAATAAAATGTAAGTAGCATGAGAGAAAAAAAAAAGGAAAATGTTCTTGAGTTTAAAAATGAACTCATCAGACTAATTTAGGGGAGCAAGGGATGAAAGCATAGGAAGGAGGATGCTAAGTAATCTAAGAAAGATGGATGCATTTCAATGTTTAATGGGGACTGATGAATAAAAGATAACTTTTTTATTTAACTACTCAGGCTTTAGATTGTGTTATTTGCTTCTTTGATGAGTGGACCAAGGCTTGTGTCTGTCTCCAGCAGTTGGTGTGCTATTTCTGTATAATTTTAGGTGCGTGGATGACAAAGTAGATCTTTGCTTGTTGTGTAAAAGAACAAGAAGCCTCCTGGCCGACTCGGTCATCTGGAAGTAACAGGCCCAACCACCAGCACTAAATACTGGCATTGCCACCGAGCCTGTCATTTGCCTACCTCAAGAATACTGACAGTGAAATAAAAATATACCAGAAAAAGATCCCATGAGTGAAAATTTCAGAAGTTAAGATCTGCTTTGGTAGGTTAGGAGGAAGTGTGGTCAGTAACCCTTCTCTGAGACCCAGCTTTGCCCAGTTAAGACAAACAAGCAAAGCCAAAAAAGTATCTGTGCTTGTGTGATATGACAACCTGATTTGAGCTGACAGTGTTAACTCTTACCTCCTGGACCCTGTAGATGATTGCTAGAGGTTTTAACACTAGCATAATGGCTGCATTACTGATGCTTGGGCTTCATAACTGCTAAATGGCTCATAAACATGGCTCAACAGCCTTCTGTGACCACCTCTTTTCCAACCTCAGGGAAGCAGAGAGTCTGAGCTGATGGGAGCCACTGATCTGACACTTTCTCTTTTCTACTGGATCTCGCACAGCTGAAGTATAGGTGGTGAGGTGGACAGCTTTTCACGAATTTCTAGCTCAGGACACGACCAACAAAACATAGAAGACGGGAGAAATTTAGAGATGTCTGCGCACGTTTGAGTCACGCTGATAGACTTGTAGCGTAGAAAAACAATGTCCATGCTAGATGCTGGTAGCATCCATAGTTTCATATGCCAGTGTTCCATGCAGGGTTATTGTAGCTGTGATGAAACACCATGACCAAAACACAAGTTGGGGGGGGGGGAGAGTTTATTCAGCTTACACTTTGTTGTAACAGTTCATCATCAAAGTAAGTCAGGGCAGGCACTCAAGCAGGGCAGGTACCTGGAGGCAGGAGCTGGTGCAGAGGCCCTGAAGAGTGCTGCTTACTGGCTTGATCCGCTGTGGTTTACTCAGCCTGTTTTCTTATGGAATCCAGCACTACCAGCTGGGGCTTTGGGAGAGGAAGGGCAGGCTCTCCACACACACACCCCAATTCACTAATTAAGAAAATATCTTCCACGCTTGCCTACAGCCTGATCTTATGGAGACATTTTCTCAATTGAGGCTCCCTCCTCTCTGATGACTCTAGCTTGTGACAAGTTGACAGAAAACTTCTAGCACACCCAAGAAAGCAAAGTATCTGTGGAGAATCAGTTTAAGAACAACCTGTAGATGTCAAACACTGCACAGGCCGAAGTCCCTTATTGACAATGGCATAGTATTTGTATCTAGGCTGTCTGTATATCTTACTATATCTACAAGTCTCAAGATTACTTACAACACATAATACAATACAACTGCTGGTTTGGGGGGCGGGGTTTGCTTATGGAGTAATCACATGAAAAAAAAATGTGCGTGTGTGTTCAGTCCAAACGCTTTCTTTTATATTTACTTGTTTGTGTGCATGTGTGTGGGGTGTGCCTGTGGAGGTAAGAGAGCAACCTGGAGGAGCCGATCCTCTCCTTCCACCAGGACTGAACCCATGCAAGCAGATACTTGCTGAGCTATGTTGCTGGCCTCCACAAACACATTTAAAAAAAAAAAATATTTTAACCCACAAATGCAGAATTCTCAGACATGGAAGACCAACTCTGGGCTGAAGCAGGGAATCTATACTGCCATTTTCCAGAATCTTCTGAAAACCCCTGCCTTGTTAATCTTTTGCCTGTCAAGCATGTATTTCCACGTCAGTATGTCGTGATGAGCAAGCTATTTCCCTCTACATGTAGGTTCCCTTTCCGTATGAGTAGCAGACTAACTTCTGATCTGACTAGGCTCCCTCCTGTTTTGCATGGCTTTTGGCAGGAAGAGCTGGAACTGGGAAGAGTTTGAACACACTTAGGGTAGATAAAACTCCGAGCCAAGCTAATCCAATTTGGGATCTTGTGTGTCTTTGTTTTCTAAGTTTCATGTTTTCATTTTTATTTATTTTTATATTTTAGATTTTTTAGACACAGGGTCTGACTCTGTAACCCAGTCTGGCCTCAAAGTCATGATCCTCCTGCCTCAGCCTCCCAAGTGTTAGGATTGATGTGTACTACTATACATTCTGTTTTATTTTTCCTAAATGATGTCTTTTTAGACTTCATGAAAGAAAGAAATGTGATAGAACTGATTTTATTACGTGCTGATAGATTTTTCTTTTTGCAAAAAGCATGAGCTATATAATAAGATAATGATAACCAATATTAGCAATTAACATTTATGATATGGCTTTCATGTGCCAGGCACAGGCAGAGTAACCCCTGACCCAAATCTTCATTACCTTGCAAATGAGGAAACTGAGGCAAGGAAAATTCAAGTTTTCTTGAGATCACATGTATGTGTCCCAGCTACATTATCAGTGTGTGCTTGCTTGTATTTACATATGGCTAACAGCAGGAATAAGCCCATCATTGGCTCAGAGGAGAGGCTTTATGCCTCTGAAAAAAAAAAATTTCAAATGGTGACATTTTAGAACAAATTTAAATGACTTCCGGTCTGACCTATTCTCAGAGTTCTGGGTCTAATTTTTATACACAGGCATTTTCAGTGTTGCAGCATGAGTTCTAAATTGAAGGCATGGTGTAGCTCAGATTGCTCTCTCTTGTGCCTCAGCTCAAGGTGCTCACAATTAAGGAGGCTTTGAACATGGGCTCATGAGGTGAGGTGCCCCTCCCCCAGACAGGGCACTCTGCCTGCACCAAGACAGCACCCCCATTGTGCGTCAGGGAGTAGTATGGCATCCGTTCAAAGCATCAACCTTATTTTCAGGTTTGGAGGCTGAAAACATTTTGACAAGTTAAGATTAGAAACACACTTCTGTATTTTTCTGATTATTAGAACGTGCAGCTACAGCTCTGTTTAAAAGGAGAGCATGTGTGAGAAACCTCAATGACACAGAAATGCCGCTTTTTGTCTCTATAAACAGTGTCACTTGTGATTTTTCTGGAAAGTCCCTTTTCCCCCATGTTTTAAATACACATGTAAAACAAAAACGTACAAAGCTTAAACTTCTGATGGATCCCTGTCCCTGATGGCTTAAAATAATACTTTTCGTAGCTTGACCTTGTCAGGTTGGACTTTTTTTTTTTTTTTCCCACTGAGAGTTTTTTAAAGAGTTTGAGATCCTTGATGTGAGTATATGAGCTAAGCTATAATTTAACAGCCCACCTTGACAAATGAAAGAAAGATCAATGTATTCATCCATAGGCTGAAATATTTGTGGTAAAAGTTAAGTGTTGTTCAAGCGCTAGGAAATTAAAGCATTCTAATGGAAGCATGTTAACAGGAATACAGTGTTTAAGTGTTGTCAGGCCTGGATTTCCACACTTGCATTTTCTAAATTAGCTGAACTTACGTAAGTTCAGCTTGATAAATTATACACCTGAGCAGAAAGCCTCTAAGTAACTTAAACTCACAGCAGTTTTGGAACTGTTATTTGACAGATAAAACTTTATCCTAGCTCTGAAACAGTTTCATTTTCTGTAATTCAAGTGAAGATTACAAAACTCTCTATATGAAGATGACATATCACTGGAGAGAGGGCCCAGAGGCTGGGAGCGTGTACTGCTTTTGCAGAGAACCCAAGTTTAGCTCTCCATGTCCTGTACTTTAGGGATCTAATACCTCTGGGCTTCTCGGGCACAGCATTCATGTGTATATACCCACACATCCATTTAAAATAATAAAAATAAATCTCAAAACAAAAACAAGCCTAGTGTGGTAAGGTCTTAGGTGTCTGTAATCTCAGCACTATGGGAAGTGGAGGCAGAAAGATCAGGAGTTTCAAGGTCATCCTCAGGCACATATCGAGTTCATCATCTGCCTGGACTATGAGGTTCTGCTTCAAAAAGAAAGAAAAAGACAGAGAAAGAAAGAAAAAAGAGAGAGAGAGAGAGAAAGAAACTCCTTATGAAAACACTGAAACATTAATCAGAAAAATGAGTCACCTTCTGTTTCTGAAATGATACAACAGGAAAATCTATGTTTATAATCACCCATTACCATCTCCACTGAGAGTTGAACATTTGTGTCTCTTCTCTGGTGTCCATAGGGACACCTATGTATGGGCCAGAACCGGAGGGACCTTGTCACCTCAGGGAAATTCCTAAAAGGGAAATACTACGTGTAAGCTCTCTTTTCTGTCTTGTCCAAGAAGCATTTTTTCCACCCAGCGGTGGTGAGCTGGAACTCCAGGTTAAGGGCTCCCCAACCGCTACAGCTGTCTGCCGATCACAGAGAGAGGATGTGGACGAGTCAGGCAGCAGTCCAGCTAAGAGGAAAACAACTGTGCTTTGGAAAATGCTCTGCACATGCAGAGAACCCAGCTCTGTGTTCACCCAAGCTCCATGAGATCTTTGTTAAGACCAGGCAGCGCGTGACTGAGTCAGCCCTTGACTTTCTTCCTGGGCAGCTGGGAGAATTCTGCCTTCTCTACTCACTGCTGCGTAATTCTGGTTTTAACTTGTGAAAATAGAGGGACTGATCAGGAACTTACAGTTCAGTCTTAACACAGGGGAAAAATACTTGAATTGGGGCCAGCGAAAAAGGCCCAGCAGCTAAACCAGTGGCTCTCAACCTTCTCAATGCTATGACCCTTTAATTCAGTATCATGTTTTGCACAACCCCCAACATAAAATTATTTGCATTGCTACTTCAGAACTGTAATTTTGTTACTTTTGTGAATCATAGGGTAAATATCTGATTTGAAGGATATCTGCTATGGGACCCTTAGGGGGTCGCAGCCTACAGATTGAGACCCACTGAGGTAAGGGTGCTTGCAGCCAAGCCTGAAAGCCTGTTTGGTCCCTGGAACCTACATGATAAAGGGAAGAACTGAATCTCACAAGTTGTTCT